TATATTGTGTAAATTTAATATATTATACCGTGCTCAAATTTATAGGAACATGATGTTATGAATCGTATCAAACATACCAACGACAGTTCCTACGGGCATCTGTGGTCAAAACGGTGTGATGCTCGCTGAGATAACGAGGGATTGCTGGTTCCCACCAGAGACCTCTTTTTTCATACAAATTATAATAAGGAACTTTCGTTGATGAACTATGTTTGATACGATCTTTAACATCATGTTTCTCTATATATGAGCACTGTATTATTAACGTTTTGATTTATATATACCGTATTTATTCGAATAATCGTCTTTATGATCACACAATAATGCATTTTGAAGGCAATTACATATTGTAGTTCAACATTCACATTAAAATTAAGTGTTAAATATAACCCAATGAAGAAATTATTAAATTTTGGTCCGTAGTAGGGTGTGGATGTGAGGACCACTTAAAGGGATTTAATAGCAAACGTCCTAGACAGGATATTTAAAAAATTAATCAACTGAAATGGATGAAATTCATGTGAAAGTTTAATCAAGTTACAAAGAAGAAATTATTAAGTGTTAGTGACGATCCAAATTCGGGTGTGAACTTGAGGATCATTTAAAGGTCATTTAAAGTCCTGCGTGTTTCTTGTGTCCAAAATATTCCAAAATCTAAATGGCAGTTACAAGGATTGTTAGGTATAACCCAAGGATGAGGCGATTAAGTTTTGGTGACCATCCGGCGTAGGGTGTGCATATGAAGACCATTAAAAAAACGTCCCAGACCAGAAAAAAACGGGTCAACTGATCTGAATGAAACTTTCGCGAAAGTTTAACCAAGTTACAAATAAGAAATTATGAAGTGTTGGTGACAATCCAGATTAGGGTGTGAATTTTGAGGGCCATTAGGTCCCAGAATCTCGAAAATGGATCAATGGATAAAAATGACAATTGACAGAATAGTTTTTCATGTTTAAATAAAGTAGTGTTTCAGTTTTTGTCACGATCCGAAGGAGGGTGTGGATATGGGGACCATTTAAATAATACGTTTACCGTATATCGTAAGCAGATAACAATAGCAGTGTGTTGAATATTCAAATTAGTGCAATTACAGTAAAGTGGACCGCGTTTTAAATGTACTTCAGTTTTTGGAAACTTATTGGGATTATTTTTAATACATCTTTATATTTAAACATGTGACGCTAAAAACCATTGACTATTTCCATAATATTTCCATTTCAACACCAATACATGGCATGTATTTATTTTGTCAACAATAAAAGTAAAATGTTCATGTGTGGTTAACCATAGAAAGTAAAGAATTGGCAACTATACAACTAATATGCCTAGGCGTTTGTGGATACTGTACTTTTTATAGTAGGTGGTAGTTGGAAAGTAAGCGGATTCTCACATTTTATTGCTGTTTCAGTAATGAAAATACATGCTTCAATACAATATAGCCTGGATGCTGTGTTCAAAACATAACATGTGTAGTGACAAGTAGTACCAGGCCCTATGTTTCATCGTTGAAACGGAATCCATGAGTCCACATATAGCCGCGAGTACATTAGTTAGTGTTAAACATGACGTCATGCGTGCAGCTAAAAGTGGATTTGCCGTGCCTTGATTTTGGCATACATTCTAGCTATACAAACTACATGATAGTCAATGATGTTTCAACGTGCAAGCATTAGGGCTAGACTATTTCCAGGTTTCTTAATAAGAACAAAGTGGTCCTACAATGAAACTATTTTTTTCATCAGGTAAAAACCGAATTAAAGACGATGTGAGATCGCGTACGCATCACGTTAACATAAAACAGACTGAACAGTAAGCCTATTAATAGGCCTATACGTACTTACAATCAGAGAGTTTTTCGCTGCTTTAGGCGGTTGAAAAAGAAACCCAATGATCAATGATAGTGCAGGCTGGTGAAGGCACTGAAGGATAGCCGTAATCTTACATACATACATAAATTACTTAAATATTCTTCGAATCCCTGTGTAACTAATTTCCATATTTGATTTCCTCCTTTGAACTAAACATGGTGTAGGCCTATAACTAGTAGATACGAACTTTAAGTTGCTTTTTTCCTTCCACCAGGAGCAGTATGGTAATAACCCTGTGGGTAAATGAGGTTATATTTTAAGAATAAATACATGTTTAAAAAATGATAACAACAACAACTAACCAAATACGAGAAGGTCTATTCCATACGTAGGCCTATCATGGAACGAATATATCGTAAAGTAGATCTACATAACGCACTTTCTGAAACCTAAATAATTATGTATTAACTGGAGTAGGGCGAACCCTGTTATTGGTTTGTAAAAAACTAAAAATGAAACAGGAATATTTGTTTAAAAAGCGCTTTATGGTTGTGTTTCTATAGGCAATAAGAAATGGTGCAATGTTGGTGGTCATAAGAGGTAATATGGTGAAAACGGACACAATCCAAGGTTGAACGTCCCCAGAAAAGAACATAAGCACATGAACCATAATGAAGAACGGTACCCAAGAGGAAAAAAGAGAAGCGCACAGGTAAACCAGAAGAACTGTCCGCTTTCTCCCATCTTCATAGTCAATATAGTCGTTACTTGAGAGAGAACCAACACTTTCGGTGGTACTCGTTAGCCGAACCCGTCTACGGGCCATGTCTTTCGCCTTAACATTGGCTATGTGAATTGTGTGAAAATCTAGCACAAAAATTGTAATTATACATGGAAGAAGTAGAACATACAGCCGCATCAGTGTAATTGGTTTATTACGAATAAGCCACGATGGAAAACAGTTACATGTTGTTACGTCTGGTATCCGTGGGTCTCCGGGAAGTTCACCAATAGGATTGAAACTTTCACACGGAATCCAATCGACTGTAGGTAGTGCCGTCGTAATGGCGCTCAGGATCCACGAAACTGTAATAAGGCTTAGAAACCGTTTAGATGACATTTTAGCCTGGTAGACGAACGGTCTGAAAATAGCGTGGTGTCGAGCGGTGGTGTATGCCAGCGTGCTAAAAAGGAAACTCGTGAATCCAAAATCAATTGAAATTGAAAACAGGTAACAAATAGTTTTAGATTGTGTACACCAGTCAACCCACATGAGCGACGCAATGAAAGGCTGCGACACAACTGAAATGAAAATAGCGGGAACTGTTAGATTAACTAGGAAATAATAAGCAACATTGTGTAGATCTTTGTTTTGGTGAACAGCAAATGCCACGAAAATATTACAAACCAATGTAATAAAGCACCAAATCGACATAACTGTAATCAAAATTATGAGGCCAGTGTCTTGAAATCTGTCGTCTTGGTTTCCTCTGCAATTGTTTGGAAGGTCGATGTTAGTTGGACGAAATGAAAAATTCATTTTTAATGTTTCCTGAATTTTTTTCTAATTCGTTTTTTTTTCCCAAACTGTACATGTCACACTGCAGATTCCTCGTGATCCATTACAAATTTCAAAAACTTGACATCAATTCGCGAAATTAAAGAATTAGGATTTCAAGAGACTGGTCCATGTTTTTCCATACTCAGTATAAATTATCGACAATAGTATTTTGAAAACAAATTAGAAAGTACAATTTATGTTCATAATATGAATAATTTCAGAACTATAAAACACACTTGTAATGTTCCTCGATTCTAAAGTAAATTTGCTAGCCTTTTCGGAGCTCTTTTAAACTTCAATTCCAAAATGTCCGTAACATAAATCGGGAAATAACAAAGCAAGTTTTGGGAGAGAAGAAACATAGATGCGTCCTGCATTGTCGAGAGAATGTGTTCAAGTATTGAAAAATAATCGTTGTAGTATAGCGAGCCGCTTGCTTCAGACTTTGCCCGCTATATCGGCTGATTGTGTGGATTCAGTATTTTCGTATTTGATATTTACAGCACAATTAGTAAGAGAGGCTTGCAAATGGTGTTTGATCATCTCTCATAAGCCTAATTTGGAAAGTAGCAATAATCACTGCTGGTGCTTAGATCTAATGTAGGCTTAATGTACGACATTGTATAATCATGATATAGATTAGGGTCTGTACCCAGGCAATTAATGATGAGATGATGATATTTAGATAGATACTCGAAGTGTAAGTGGCTATCGGTCAGATTTATGGTGGCCTACTGTGATTTGAAATGACGTGTTCGGCCGTTGGTGCAAATCTGATGTTTTTGTATCTTAATGCTGTCTATCTGAACTGCTGTTGTTGCGCGCGTTTTTAAGTTTAAACTATACGATGAATAAAAGGTGTAGACGCCTTTAGACTGCTATATAACAATATAAGAAATGACAAAGCTAAGTATTTTTAAGACTAACTATAAAATTTTTTAGCTCTAGCTTTTGTCCCCACAGTGGACTTCACCAGAAAACTGTAGTGGAAGACTAACTTTTACGTTAACGTCATCCCCAAAAACTATATTTCGTTTACTGCACCTTTTTTTTTGGTTTGCTTTTTTTGTTCACTGGGACGTTTTTACTCTTCTCTTCCTTTTATGACAATAGAAATGATAAATTTTGACAATGACGACAACAAACTCCCTTAGGTCCATTTCAATCAACATCATGGATGATATGATAAAACGTGATATCAACATTAATCGTTTACAAGTAGGAATTACTACCACTACACTAACGTCAAGTGTCTATAGCTTTAACAAAGAAATGAAACATCTCAAATCATAAAATGCTCTTAACATTAGATCAAAAATAGCACGTTGTTACGCAAGTTTGTATTTCTGATTTTTTTTTCCAAGCGTGGGCATGCATTTTGACACGACAAAGGTGCTTGACGTCTCGATAGCCTACAATACGCTTTTTATTGAACGATAAATTTTAGTTTTGTAAGCTTTACAAAACGATTAAGTAGTAGGCCTATCTTCAGTAAACCGTCTTCATAAGAAAAGCTTAGAACGGATTAAACGTTATAAACTTTCAACAAAGGACCAATAATAATTTGCGAGATTTTCTTATTAAAGAAGAGGTATTAAATGTAACGTAAGAAATGTATACAAAATATAACGCATTAACTGAGTGCACCGTCTTTCCCGGACGCCATACATCGGCGCTATTCTCTATCTCAGTATCGTCCCGGTACATGTCTTTTTATTTTATTTACACAAGATAGTAAAATACTGGTGACCTGTCCACCTGGATAGATTTTGAAGGCCCAGAAAATGTGGGTATTTGGCGATAGTGACTCAAATATTGATAACCAACTTAAGCTAATTTGTTTAAGAACTTATTAGATCACGGAAGAACCACCCACGAAGACGGAATATTTACTTACAGGCAGTTTTATTGGACTCTTTGCCAATAGGGGTTCACATTGCAGTATTTGGTCCATCTCAACTAATTCTTAAAATAATAGGCCCTATGTAGGCCAAGCTGATAAGCTTGACCTACATTATGAAATTCCCATCTAGAAGGGTTCCAGCTATCTAAAAAAGTGCTAAGTTAATGTTGGCACACACA